CTAGGGCTGTTACTGAATTTGGATCTTGCCATGAAGTGGTAAACCACTCTGTTGGGTTTGTTAATGCTCAAGGAGCACATACTAACCAAATTGAAAACCCGTGGTCACATCTTAAGCATGTCTATCGAAAACGTGGCGGTATTAATAAAAAGAGAATTGATTTTTTTAAATGAGTGGCAATGGAGGAAACGAAATGTCCAAAACAGCGACAGCGATAACAAGACGCTTAGGACTGCACTATATAGACTATTAAAAATGTTTAGATTTTAATTTTTTGTAGCCAATTATTTTTTAAAAAATTATAATAATTTTTTTTGAAAAACAAGGGGGGGGGTGGAAAGATGAAGTATGCCAAGAAAATGGTGGACAATGGGATTAACAAGAAGCCATCACACAGACTTTCACGGAGCTTCTCAAATAAACATAACTTTTCTTTACAATTTTCTAAACCGGACACTAACAAATTTAAACAGCATTTAAAAAATCACAATTGTTATCACGAAAATAATTTTCGAAGTCCCAATTTTAACCATTGCTCACAGCAACAAAATGAAAGATGGTGTGCAGAACGTAAAACGAGAAGTCACTACAAAAAAAGAATGTTATAAACAATCACGACATCAATTAGACGGTGTCATAGCCATACTATGACAATAAATTAAAATTTGTTGTTTTAAAACTTTAAGTTCCAACAAACGCAAGAATCAAAATAAACTTAAATAAAAAATTGTAATGGAAGAGTAAGAAAAAAAATGGAAAACAGAAATTGTAATCATAATTTTATTTGACAGCCCAGAGCAGAAGTAAGGCGTGCAACGTATAAGAAAAAAAATAATAAATATAATTGACGTAACCCCGTCGAGGTGCTGTTCAACAATAGAAATAATTTATTTTAGTCGTGTTTGACTGCATCATAACCCCTATAGTTGGGGTTTTCTTTAATATTTAAAATTTAATTAATCAAAATCTACTGATTTGACATTTAATTAAAATTTTAATATTTGATTTGTGGAATACCACAATAATATTACTGAAACTAAAAGTATTGTTGAAAAATATTTGAAACAAGGATGATACTCCCTTGGGCAGGACAAACGGGTTTAATTAAAATAGAAACCGAGGCTCAAAACTTATTATTAAGACAATAAAAACTACAGTCGATTTGGATATAATAGAAACGAAAGAAAATATACTAACTATAACCAAGGTAATTATAAAAATTATAAAGAAAATGAACAACATAAGAAAAACAAAGTGATAAGAATCGCAAGGTGCAATAATGATTACAATCAAAATTCAACAAACAAATACGATGACTCAAACAACAAAACAATGATTATCAAAAAACAGAAGCCACAATTGAAAGAAATGGTGATAAATATAATAATTAACGAAACAGAGGTGAAAATGTTACTAAACTCTGGATCAACACGAAATTATCTTAGTGCTGATTAGGTACAAAAACTGAATTTGACAGAAAAAGATGATATCGAAATTACTACTGAATTTGGAAATAATAGTGTCAAAAAGGCGATATAACGATTAATGTTATCAATAACACTTTTATTTGCTTCTTTAAATTCTTGCATAGGGTCAAAATAATAAAATATTTTAAATAATTTATTCTTAAAATAATAGAATATCCTCGACATCTACTTCCATATAAAGGCTTTGCCGTGTTTGTCTTTAGGTGTGTCTTATTAGGTCTTGTTTTGACTAAATCGTCTGAGACTATGTGTGTTTCATCGTTTGTTTTTTTCTAGTATTCTAAATCTTGGTATCCAGTTGGCCTTTAATTTATTAGAAAATGATTTACGATAAATTAGAACCGGATTAATGTATCTGAAATCGATTAGGTGCTGTAATCTTCCCCCCTTCTATATGCTTCTTGTACTGTTTAAAATTTTTATTTCTCTCTTGCATTAATTGTTCCTTTCCAAACTCCTTGTTATTTATGCCCAGCTTCCGACCTATCTCCAAATTTGGTAACCTTTCGTATCTAAAAATTAAAGGAGAGGTCCCTATAGCTATATGAATTGAAATATTTATTGCTGTCGTGGCTGTTGCTAGCATTTCCTCCCATGGATGTTTACCATAATTTGATAGCTTTCAGATTTTATTCTAGAGTGTCTAGTTAACTCTCTCTACGCATCCCATGGTTTGATGGTAGTAGGGGGCTATACTCCCACGTGATACCGTGTTTTTTTGCCAATTAGATAACGTTTTTGTTGGCAAATTCTAATCCGTTATCCGGCAGGATCCTCTTTGGCGCTCCATGTTTGTCTATTATAAGTTCTTTTAACGCAATTGCTAGTTCAGTTCCCTACTTACTATTAATGGCTTTGGATTCCACCCATTCTCCGCAATGGTCAACACATACTAAAACAAATTTGTTTTTGCCGTTGCATTCTATTCTTTCAATCAGATCTACTTCTCACAGCTCGTTTGGTTTTTCCGTCATAATCACTTTATTTTTTGTGTTAACAATTGTGTCTCCTGACCTTAAACATGCTTCGCATTTTTGATGGTGGGTGTCGATATCTTTTATAATTCCATTTGTGTTTTTGTAATACGAAAAATTTCATTGTCTCCGGTGCACCATGTCTACTAATGATGTGGAATTGATGTAAAATTTTCTGCCTTTTCCTCTTTGTAAACCCATCTTCTACTGAGTTCGCATATACTGCCCTCCATAATAGGAGCGTCCACGTCGCGGAGGGGGGGACTGAGGTTTTATAACTTCCGGCGCGAATCTCATAAGTCTTACCAATACCTTCAGGCTGCTGGCATAATAAGTAGGATCAGCGATATCCTTGGGGTGAGTAGACCTATTGCCGGATTGAAGAGTCCGTTACCCTTCGGGGAATCTTAAGTCTTTCTTTCCAAGAAATAGGGCAAGCTATGCTCTTGGGATGTGAGATCCACTGTCGGTTGGGAAAAGCCGTTACCCTTCGGGGAATCTTCAAAAAACACACAACCTGGGGAGGGTTTGGCAAGCTGCTGACGCCGTAGCATTTGCGTCG